GCCCCCTTTTTTCTTTGCAGACACAGGGCTGTCAGAGCTGAAAGTCAGATGAGTGGCTAATCCTGTGAGTTGCTGAATTATAACATATGTGGGTAAGTTAAATTTCCAGCCTCACCATGGTGTCCTTTGTGAAAATTAGGGATTTTATTGTAAAATGAAATTGAAAACAAAACAAAACACTTGGGTAGATTCATACAAAAATGAATCTATCCTTGCTGGAATAAGCTTTTCCCGCTTAGTTAGAAGAAGCTGGTCCTGCCTTGCTTGGAGATCCTGTAATCAACCCCTTTCATCAGAGAATGAAAACCCTCCTCAAACCCTATCCCTCTACGTCTTATCCCCTTCCCTTTGTCAACTGCCTCAAGAGAAAGAAATTAGAATCCAGCAATTCCTGCATGCCCCAGGGAGATAAGCACAAAGTCGGACCCAGGAGGAAAAGGCACACAAGCTTCAAGAAGTACAAGAGTTTGTAGATTTATGTTGGCAGGATGATTGCCAGGCAAAATGAAAGATACTGACTTAAATTTAAATGATAAATAACAAATAATTTTTAGCATGAGCATGTCCCAAATATTGCACGGTATTTATTAATACAAAAAGAGTCATTCATGTTGATCTGAATACAAATTTAATGGGGCATCTTGCATTGTTTTCCTCCTGAATCTGTCAGTCCTAATAGATAAAAATCTAGAGAAGTGGAATGAATTCTAAAGGCCTGAGCAATAAAGAAGGAATATTACATTAGAATTTACAACGTCATTGATAACATCGATTTGGGTGAGCATACAAAACGCGTGGATTCAAAATGCTAGCCTGAGCGTCTGGGAGGGACTCAAACACAGTGGCTCTCAAACTGAAGTCCCCAGATGGGCAGCAGCAGCACTGATCAGGCCTTATTAGAAATGCAATTCTCAGACCCTTCCCCAGACTTACGGAATTAGAAACTCCGGGTTAGGGTCTAGCAACCTAAATTTCAATAAGCCTTCCGTGTATTCTTAAGGAAGGTCCTAGAACCATAGCCAAAGCACTTTTTTCTTTTTTCTTGTCTCCTGCAAAGGGACTGTTATCAGAGTGTGCACAAGGGGAAAATAAAACATGCCCAGACTTTTCAGGGACACAGACTCTAAGCTGATGCTACTCCCTGAGGACTCAAAATGTCACTCTATGTTCTATCATTCTGAGTAGAGACTCTATGGAGATTAGGTGATAAAAGAAAATGATATCCCAGTGGATGCATGAAACTATCTGCGGTTATTGCCCCAGTTTCCTGAACATATAGTTGGAATAGAAGTACTCTGAAACTAGCAGAATCCTCAAGATTGTTTCCTAATTTCTGCAAAGATACAGGGCTAGCATTCCATCATATCCCCAGTTAACTTGCATATCTGGTTTGTGCAAAAGATGCATGGATGGTAGAGAGCAATAGTAGGTTACTGCAAATGTAATCAGGTGGTGACGCCTATTTCAGAGATCCAGATGTGTTCTCCTTACCAGTGTAAAATCAGCACAGCTCCTGACACCTGACAGGCAACTATCAAACCAGAAAATTCTTTTATTTCCAGTCAAGAAACAGAGCTCATCGTAAGTAGTTAGGTTTCATCTGGCAGGATGCCAGTACACCCTCACTGTCTTATTTCAGGGATATCATCCTCTCTGGCTGTCACAAACCCAGCGATATCCCTTTAATGACATTATCCTGATTGTATCTACTGGACAAGAATTTCGAGTATGCTAAGTGCCTTGATAAGATACATGCATATCAAAGGGTGAGAGATAGACTCTATGAAAGTTCAGGGACCTGCTACCTCAGTGAAGTTTCTGAAGGTCCAAAGGTCCCCTCCCTGTGAAAGCCAAATTACTTCACTTTGCACCTCCTATAACCAAACTACAAGCAAAAGTTGGCTGAGTTTTTGTTTTTGTTTTTGTTTTTTTTTTGGTTTGGAGGTAGCATATACAACATGTGTGTGCTGCTTTCAACAGAACATCTGGTGCAGTATCAAATATGAAGTAGAATCCCGATGAAGGGAAGGCTCGGCTACAGCTCCAAACCGGAGCCACGTGGGCCTTTGCTCCTGCAGAGCTAAAGGAACTCAAAGCGTCTGCGGCAGCTCTGAATGCTGCAGAACGCCCTGGCAGGCTCCACTGGGAATTTTAGGAGCCTCCAGTGCTGGAGCAGAGCCATGTCTTCTTCAGACAGTAACTAATACCTTTTGGAAAAATTGCTCTTGGCTTACTTCTCTAGAGACTTAGATTCTGACCATAGAATATCGAGTAATCATGAGACCTCAAGTGTTTTCTAATATACAAAACCATAAAGTTGGACAACTGCAAGAATACTCCATCATCAAACGGAAGTGGTGTATCAGAGGTCAGCCTCAAGCAGATCCTGGATCCCATGCAGGTTGTGTGAACATGACTCGTATTCCCTGTGCACCTCCTCTGCTGCACTGCCCTTTCTCCCTCAGATCATGCCTACGATCAGCTGACTAGGGGACAAAAGAACTCAAGCTTGGTTTACGGATGGTTTCTCATGCTGGCACTAGTTGGAAGTAGTTTGCTGAATCATTATATCCCCACAGAGGGGTGACCTTGACAGTGAAAGAAATCTTTTACTGCAGGGCAAGTTTTAAGTAGTATATCTATCTGATTTTTCACTTTATGTCAAAGGAAATATGAGGACTCATATGGAAATATACAAAAATATGTGCAGTAACTAACTGCTGGCCTGTTTTACCAGGGACTTAAAAAAATAAAATGGGAAGATTAATGACAAGAGATCTGAACAAAAGGTAGTAGATGGACCTCTGAGAATGAAGGAAGAGCATGAGACTATTTCTATCCCATGCAAATGCAGGCCAAAGGCAACCAAAAGACTCTCATTAATCAGGGGATAAGGGGACTCCATAGACCAGCCGTGAGCAAACTACGGCCCGTGGGCCGGATCCGGCCTATTTGAAATGAATAAAACTAAAAAAAAAAAGGCTGTACCCTTTTATGTAATGATGTTTACTTTGAATTTATATTAGTTCACACAAACACTCCATCCATGCTTTTGTCCTGGCCCTCCGGTCCAGTTTAAGAACCCATTGTGGCCCTCAAGTCAAAAAGTTTGCCCACCCCTGCCTAGACTGATAAACAAAGTGCTATTGCTAAATCTTCAGTCTGCCAATACCCGAGATCAATGCTGGGCTTCCACCTTGGCACCATACTCCAGGGAGAATGGAGTCATCCACAAAGTAATAGGATAAGCATGAATTCCTAGGGAGGAGAGCAGTAATCTCTCTATACTATAACAGACAATTTATTCTGTACATGGATCTATCATCTCTGCCCATATTGCTCTGCCAATATCTCCATCTGTGGAATTACTCACCATCACTGTATCTCACACAACACTGTCTCTATTTTTACTGCACACGAAATGAGACAACAGACTCCACAGAATCCATCAGTCTTAACACGAATCCCATCCATCCAGAAGTGGCTGGCCTTACATAATGATGGGATGGCCTGCAGAAGAATCCATTCCTAACCTACTCTAGGAATGTACCTTCAGAAGCTGGGGAACCAGTGATCATTACATAGGTATAGGTTCCTAGGAGCTAGAGTAGCCCCTCTCACTATTCTACCGACTGAGGTGGCAGTGGCTGCTTGTTTCCTGCACATCTCCAGGGGTGGCATCACAGGGAGTTATTAGCAGAATGGAGCAGTTATTTATCGTTATGGGACTTCTTCTGAGAGGCAAAGCTTAGAACCTACTCCCTCAGTCATTCTGAAATTTTATAAGCACCAAAATCCCTGTATGGAATCCTTTCCTGCCTAAAACATCTAGACAACTTCCTGTTCCCTGAGCTGAATCCTCAGATATAAGAATACACAGGGAAATGTGACCGGAATGAATGGTATATTTAGATTTTCATGTATGCAGTCTGTGGTATCCAAATCTTTGCATCTGATCCAGTCATTCAGTAGTCTACTTACCAAGTAGGTTAATAACGCCATCATTGTAGCAAGCAAAAAGTTTGATAAGATCTTTGAAAAGAAGCATAAATGCAGCATTTATGACACCATTTGTTAGCTCATTTGGATGCACCTAGAAGAAAATGAGAAGTTAATATGTTAAATCGTATCATCAAATGACAATTTTTCTCAGAGCACATTAAAGTGTCTCAAATGATTACTAAGAAATTCATCCCTATTTTACAAATGTGTAATTCTCTTTGTAACCCTGCCAATATCAAAAGATGGATCGCATTTTTCTTGCTTTAAGTCAATGAAGTTAGTCCTATCAATTATAAGACATACATACACTCTATTTGATCAGTAATCCATAGATGGATCATATCCACCTTTTGAACATCTGGTCTTCTGTTGCTTTTACTATGTTTTATTACATTCTTCCACCTCCCCTATGCAATGATCTCTGTGGACGGGCCTGCAGTAACTCAGCGAGGAGGCACAGCATGGGAAATAGATACCTTATCAGCAACCCCTAAAATAAATCTAGAGAATCATAGCTTTAACGCATCCACCAAATACTCTAACCACCAAAACAAAGAAGAATAATTTCTCCTCATTCCCGAATCCTCATTCACAAGCTCTGTTTCTTTGTTTTTTTCCATTCTTTATGACTTTTCTCCTTTAGGACAGTATTATTGAGGGGAAGAAAAGCAAAGAAAAATAAAAGTACAAAAAGAGAAAAAGATAAGCAATTCCATAAATGCCTAGCTAAGTCCTTACTACAAAACCTATCAAAAACCAGACAGTTTGCTGCTTTCACTGAAATGTCACAGGAGTTGGGTGCTGTGACTAGGATGCAATTGTAAAGTAAACCGTATCGTTGTAAAAGAAATTTTAAATTATTAATATCTGAGGAAAATAGTTTTAAACAACCACCAAAGGAAGGAAAAGCTAGCAATGTGAGTTAAGAATCTTACTACATGTCAGAAAACTTTATTTTCATGAAATGTTTATTTAATTAAACTTTTTATTTTAAAATAACTAGAAATCCATATGCCATTGTAAAAAATAGAGATTCCCAGGTACCATTCACCCAGTGTCTCCCAATGGTAACATCACAAAACTATAGTATAATATCACAGCCAGGGTACTGGTATTGATACAATCCACAAATCTTATCCAGAGTTCCCCAATTTTATTTGTGTTCGTGTGTGTATGTTTAGTTCTATATAATCTTACCACAGCCAACACACAGGTATGGTTTTACTAGTAGAGACCAGCCAGGAAGAAGGACCAGGACAAAAACAAAAATAATTCTCTTTGGTGGATGGTGTCATTTAAATGGTCTGTATAACGTGGCTTCTAACTGCAGGCTGAGTCAGCTGCCTGCAGGTACATTTTGCACTACATTCTGTCAAAGACAACAGGAAATGTGCATCCTCCTCCAAACCTGGGGTTCCAAGAATGCATCACTCACATTTTTCCATGACTTAGTAAATACCTGGAAAACTGCTGGGACCATCTGCACCATCATCTCCACCGGTTAACAGCTTCAACTAAGGGCTTATCTAATGTAAATGAGGGAGATCTAAATCTGCTTCCAGCTTTACCTGTAGCCCACATTCAAATGAAAGACAATATCGACCCTGTAAGAAACATCTGCCAGTGAGATACATACATCAAATTCAAGCAGTGCATCGATTTGTCCCTGCAGAATTGGCATACTCTTTAGTAGCTTTTCTGGAACCATTGTTCTCATTACACCATCCGCCCTACAATTTTTTTAAAAAGAGAAAAAGATAAAACTTTCTTGTACATCAAAAATTCAAGACCACACACATTGTTCCAAGCTATTTCTCCCCCCTCCTCCCATTTCCTTGTTAATCATGTGGGGTGATTTTGAGACATGAAGAGGTTGTAGTTGACCCCGCTCTCTGTATTACTTCCTTTTATCCATTCTCATTCTTCAACCACACAGGCAACAAAGGAAGAGAGCCATGTGGTCTGGATATTTAGAAGTCCGTTGAATTTCTAAATGGATTCTTTTAAATATTTAACCTAGATAATAGTATTCAAAATATAAGTTTCCGAAATGCCAGTTTGTTTGTTTCTGAGAGAGAAAACATGTCATGGAAGTCTTCAAAACCTGTAGGCCTGGGAATCCAGATGTTATACTATGAACCATCAGTGAAGAAAAATGCATGCTGATAGGCACAGTTTGGCCTAAAAGAGATAAGTGTTTAACTAGCCACAGAGAATGAAAGCAGAGGTTAGTGCTGGAGGGTGCCTCAGAGCAGGCAATGAACCCTGGACCCACCGCTTAGGGAGCCCCTATATCCAGGGATGGTCAAGCAGTGGCAGTACTGCAATGGGTGAAAAAATGTGATGTGAACAGGCCGATGATGGCAATTTTCAAGGTCTTTCTCACTTCGATGGTAGGAAAAGTATCCCAGTGTCCTGATGTGCATAAAAGGGTACAGAAGTTTCTGAGAAGGTGTGGACTTGTGGTGGGGTGGCCACAACCCATGTGAGAACATCAACAATGATTGCCCAGGGCCATGTTAGCAGTCAGAGGAAGGTGCATGGACTAGAATCTTCTCTAATAAGAAGGAGTTGAGGTAAGAATCTTCATTTTATAAAATGTTTACCCACAAGAAACTTATTTTGAATAGGCAAGCGTATTATTGTTCATCACCATGAATTTAAAAGTTCAAAGCTAGGGCTGGACAAGCTATTAGAAGAACAGAGTTAAATCTTTTTGTGTGAATCCCTGAAACTAAAATATTAAACCTACAATGCCTTGTCATTTTTTTCAAGTAAGAAAAAAATCACAAGATTGACACAATTTTTTGACTGAACATTTCGGATTAAACTCAAACATCTATTTAGAAGGAAATAAATATTAATTAAGAATTAAAATATGTTTCCGTTTCAATGAAGCGTTCTTAATCAATGGTTAGTACTAATATTTAATTCAATTATGGTGTGTGTGTGTGTGTTTATAATACCAGGGCGGCATTACCTCTCAGAAAGAGATCTCCACCGTGTACACAGTTCAGTTTAACCTCAATCAAAACACATTGAAATAATTATTGTCAACTTCAGTCACTGCTCTTTTAAATAAACCTTGTTTAAATTCTCTCCATTTAAAATTAAGATATATATGTTTAAGAATTTTGAATTGATTTTAACAAACAAAATGGTATACCAGAACATCATGTCAGATTTTATGCATGATATATTAAGTATATTACAACCTCAAGGCTAACTTTTATAATATTATTGAGTTTCTTTTTTAAGCATTTGTAAACAGGGCCTTCATAATCAAAATTAATTGGCATTTAAGCTTAATTAAAAGAAAGTAAGTATGCTTCAAAACCTTTTTCTGCTCAAATAAATAGGAGAAAGAAACAACATACCCTTTCTTCACCCTGGCAAAGTCAAATGCCATCTGTCGGTAAGAGAAAGCCTTTTCATTTAAATACCTACTATAGCGCCTTATGAAGGTAGACATATCATAACCTGGGGAAGGAGCAGAGGAAATAAAACTAATTAATAAAATACCTTCAATTGTGCTTTGCTTAGTACCAATTCCTTTTAACCCCCCAATGTAAACAATTCTAGGGTGAGGTCAATAAGTGTATCAGACAAGCCTCATTTAAAATACTATTGCAGGCAAAATTGCTTTGCCATTGAGACATTCCAAGACTATTCAGTTTAGCTATGCTATCATCCTTGTGCAGAATGTCTATTCTGATTTTTCCTTGCAGTTTTGTTCACTGTTTCAAATAACAGCCTGTTTTAGACTTAATATGTGCAACTCTCTGAGAACTCTCCACTTGCTTGGTGTGCCTGCCTTATATGTAATAGCAACCAGCAAATATGATGAATGAACAGATGCATGCCATTTGAATTCTATTCCTTTATAAAGAACACTCCTTCAGGACTGTTGCCTGTTTTTTAAATTGGGAAAGTACCTTTCATTTCACTGCTTCTTGCACCATTATAAACAAACAACTGTGGGTCTAGCAAAACCACTGTTACTATTTAAGGTAAACACTAGAAAGACAAAAATAAAATCTACATAATTTACATGCTGAGTTATTTTAACAATGAGATATTTAAAAACTACTATAAACTACCTATAGTCAGGGTGTCCCATAATTATTCATTCAAAGTGTATATATACTTTGGGTTAAATGTGAAAAGAAAGAAACATCAATTGAGCTATCAAAAAATGTATGTACACCCTATACTTTTCATTTTTTCTTAAACACACAGTTATAATGATTTTGTTTTAATAACTTCATTTTGAAAATAAAAATAATTAGACACAATAAACATTAGCAAAAAAACCATAAATATTCTCACCATGGGATCCACTTTTGTCCAAAAAATTGCTGAGATTGAATAGTGTATTTCTAGAAGCCAAATACTGAATAAATCTCTGAAAAACAAAAATTATAATCAAACACCAATGTTCTCAAATCATACTTTTAAATAATTTCTGATACTAAAGGGAATTTTTATTTTTACAAATTGTCACTTTTTTCCTTTACTTCGTTATAAATCTTCCTAGTCTCCTGACTTTCTCCGAAGGGGGAAAAAGCCTGAATAATACTTACTGAGTTAGAACTAAACTGTATGATCTTTCATTTCTATATATATTAGAAACACGATAACTTAATAAGATTCTCTATGCATCCTATACAAAGTGGGAAATTTTTATATTATTAATTTTTTCCAAAATTAAATATGTTTATGAAAGCAATTTTCACTTAAAGGCACAAAGGAATACTTCCTATGGAAAAAAATAATTTTATTGTTCCTTTTCCCTAACATATTTGCCCACTAATACATTGACATTGTAAATACATTTAGATACCAGTAATACTGAATACTTAGATAGCTCTAATAAAATGTCTAACCACATCTGCTTTTTGAAAAATAGCAAAATAGATTAAAATTGTACTCTAGAAGAATATGAACCAAGATTTCCTCTTCTTTTTCTCCTAATTAGTGAAGACCCAAAGGGCCTTAAGTCATCATCATACTCTTCCTCAAAAGCCTCATTCCCCCACCAAAAATAGGCAAGTTTACTGAGCTTACCTCATTCCCATGCACCATGAGATGATGTGTTGTGACTAAAGCTTTAAATACAACCACCCAGCTACTGTTTGTTGCTCGTTCAAAGAGCGTGTCGGCCATCTGAGGAATATTAACATTGGTCTCATTGGTAGCCTGGATCAAATCTATGAACACATAGACGATATCAGTCAATTATATTAGTCATTAAACACAAAAATTCATTTCAAATGTTAAACGTTTAAACCTGTTCACTAAAATGAATTCAAAATTGCTTTGAAAATAGTTAGTAAAATTTTTAAAAGTTAAACTGTATTATTTTTACACATATATTTATGTGTTTTTTCTTAAGCTTATTTTTTTTCTATTGAATTGTCTTCTAAATTTTGTGTTTTCTATTACCAATGTCATTTTTTAAAAGTACAAACCGCAGGAAAGCTAAGCCTCATATTAGTCATCTTTGTTATCCCTCCAAGCATAATTGTCTCAAACATGTGGACACTTACTCTATGCATCCTTTGAAGTCAATAACATAAATGTATTTTTTTGAGACACGATAGCTAAAAGCTTATTTCACTTGGATTTTATTTTTGATGGATGTTATAAATACATTTGTCACCTAAGTGTCAGAATGAGAGCAATAGTAAAAGGAAAGAATTTTCCTACGCCCATCCAAGTTTTCAAAGAACACCATGTATGCATTAAATTACTATAATTTGACTCTAGTTTCTAAGGGAGTAAAACTTTATAATACATTCCCTATCCTACATATTATCAGTATGATTCCAGGTCTATCTCAGGGGAAAAAATTTTTTTACAGTGGCCAAGAGGGGCTGCCCCGCATTCAGAAAACATGGTGAGTATTGTCAAAAAGCTAGCAGAGGCAACCCAAGATCACAGGCTTACAAAATGAATCTAAGCCACACCTGGGCAGTGAGAAATTAAGAGGAAACAACACCTTAGACTTCTTTTGCATGCCACACCCACCATTCAGAGAACTGCATGTGATTCCCATTTTCTAGGTAATCCCATGCAACCAACACAGCGGCCAACCCATGCTTTTCTTTACTCAAAATCCACACTCAGTAATCATTAAGCGATGTATTTGTTTTATGCACTTCTCTATTTTATAATAAATGAGGTTTTAAAAAGTTGATACTCCATCACTGAAATAGCTATTAATTTCTTAAAGGGTATCGATAACTGTTCTGGGTTACAAGTGGACCAAACCAGGCTTATTTCTGACTATATTTTAAATTCCATTCATCATCCCTGTCCCCTTAATGCCCTCCCCTCAACATTCCTTTATTGGAATTCTATTCATCCTTCAAGAAATCTTTCCTGGTCCCATTTAAATGTAGCCCCATGTGATCTCTCTCTGTTTTAAAACTTGCGGCGCTTTGTTCTTGCTGGGTGTTCAGATTAGATGTGTCACCGTCCTAAGTTCCTGCCATACCAAAGCTCCTGGAAGATGGAAACAGTCATACCGATGTCTTGTTTCCTGTGCAGCACCTCACAGAACACAATGCACAGTAAACATCTGCTGAGAGAAATGTATAAAAGCTACACTTTAGCCCCAAATATAAGGAGTTCTTTGAAAAAGAAAAATCACTATGCTATCACATTGTTTTCTGAGACAATATCATAGGACTAATTGAAATTCTGTTCCAGTCATAAATTCTTCTATTCCTTTATTTACTGAACTGGGCTCAGGGAATATAGAAATGCACTGCTGATCAGAGGAGACAAAAGCATGGTCAGATAATAGAGAAACTCCTCTAAGAGATGAGTAAAGAGAGGCAACATAATAGTAGAAAGAGTCCCGGGCCAGAGCCCTGCTCAGCCCCTGCCTAGGTGTGTGACTCTTGGCAAATTAATATCCCTTTGACTCAGGTCCTCTTCTTTTAAATTGGGGTAATAATTACTACTTTTCAGGGCTATTATAAGAATTGCAAGTGGTCTGAACAAAGTAGGTGCACAAAATAAATGTTTGCAAATACTGTTGCACATATACTACATTATGAAAATACTGTGAGATATTAGGAAGGATTCCATGGTAAGGACCCTAAACTCAGTTATGACCTGCGACAGGAATGAGAAGTACGTTTTTAGCAAATTTGCAAAGTGTGGAGCCATAAGAGGTGCTGTGTCCTTGGACAAATGTGGGGGTCTCAGGGCTAGGTGTGGGCAGGTGGTGGGGGAGAAAGTTAACTAAGAGCAAGGGAATGGCCGGTGAGGGATCTCACACAGGACATTAAAGAGTTTGGATTTCACCCTATGGACTAAGGGGACTCTTGGAAAAGTACCAATAAGATTTCACTTTTAGAGTCAACCACGTTATTCAGCAACCACTAAATGCTATCTCCAAGGTAAGCAGAAGCACAGGATGAGGAATAATCATCTTTGCCTGGAGATACTAGAAGACATGAAAGTGGCAAGTTAAAAAGCCCAGTGGAAAGTCAGATGAGGTGAGCTTAAACTAAACTAGTAGTGGAGATAGGAGGAGATAATGAATGGCGAACAGAAAGATATTTATGAGGTACAACTGACAGGATTTGCAAGCGCGTAAATGGATATGAAGAGGTGAAGGGAAAAGAAGACCTGAACAAGTCCAGGTTTCTGGTTTGAGGTCCAGTTAATGCTTTTCACTGAAATTGAAAGAGAGTTGTTTCAAAGAAGTTATGAATTACTAGAGGCCCGGTACACGAAATTTGTGCACGGGTGGTGTGGGGGGTGGGGAGGTGCGGGGAGGGAATAAGTGTCCCTCAGCCCGGCCTGCACCCTCTCCAATCTGGGATCCCTCTCACAATCCGGGACTGCTGGCTCCTAACCACTCACCTGACTGCCTGATTGCCCTATAACCGCCTCTGCCTGCTGGCCTGATCTCCCCCTAAACACTCCCCTACCAGTCTGATCGCTCCCAACTGCCCTTCCCTGCTGGCCTGATCACCCCCTAACTGCTCTTCCCTGCCAGCCTGATCGCCCCCTAACTGCTTGTGCCCCTGTGCCAGCCTGATTGTGCCCCTAACTGCATGCTCCCCTGCACTGGCCTGATCTCACCCCTACCTGCTTGCACCTCGCGCTGGCCTGATCTCGCCCCTAACTGCTTGCTCCCCTGCACCAGCCTTATCTCACCCCTAACTTCTTGCTCCCCCACCAGCCTGATTGCCCCTAACTGCTTGCTCCCCTGCTGGCCTGATCGCCCCTAACCGCCTCTGCCTTGGCCCCCGCCACCGTGGCTTTGTCTGGAAGGAAGTCGGACGTCTGGAAGATATCCAGTCAACCCGGCCTAATTAGCATATTACCCTTTTATTAGTATAGATTTTGGACATGATATAGCTGTTGGAGATCTAATATGACCAATGGATTTTAATGTAACAGTATAAATGTTCACTGACATGGTTTCAGATTCAACATTACAATTTAAATTTAAGAAACTACCACTTAGAGAGTTGTGGTGTAGTATCAAGAATGTCCTGAAAAGGCTATTAAAATGGTTCTCTCTATTCTAATTGGGTATTTGTGTGAGGCCAGATTTTCCTCATATATTTCAACCAAAACAATATATTCCAACAACCTGTATACAGAAACAGATATGAGCAACCATCTTCTTTGGAACAGGATATTAAAGAGATGTGTAAAGATATAAAACCAAACATATCACTCTTCTCACTACAGTCCTTGTTATAGAAAATAATTATGTTTTCTCTAAAAGTATTTTTTGTGCTAACTCATCAATTGGTTTCTTATTGTTATTTTTAAAAGAAAAATATTTAAAGACTTTCTGTTATGATGTCAAATACAGTAATTATCTAAAGACATAAATCACATAAACAAAAACTTTGAATTCCTCAATAATTTAAGAGTACAAAACAGCCCTGAGAACAAACAACTTGAGAGCTGCTTTTCTTGGTATATGCCTAAAAAGGGAATTGCTAGGTTGTAGGGCATGCATATATTTAACTTTACAAAATGCTTTTACACAGTAATTGCACCAAATATATGTTCATCAGTAGTTTATATGATTTTCTACTGCTTTACTTCCCCACCAAATAAGGGTTTTCATTTAAAGAATTTCAAATAATTCCACAAAACAAAGTATGGACATAAACATGCAAAAATATTATTGAAAATTGTGAGAATCTAAATGTGAAATATCTGTCATATTTGAAATTCTTAGAATTCAAAGTCTTAATTGAATTTTGGGAGACAGATACGGTATCTTTTGAGTAGTTTTAAAAATGGCTTTTTTGAAATATAACTGACATACAAAAAAAAAACCTGCACATATTTAAAGTATACTATTTGTTAAGTTTTTACAAACATATGCACCATTAAACTATCAGCAAAATCTAGACAATGAACATATCCATCACCTCCTAAAGGTTTCCTCAAGCTTTTTTATAATTCCTCCTTCCTACCCCCCCACATCTCCATCCCTGTGTCCCTTAACAATCACCAATTTGCTGTCAGCCACTTTACATTAGTTTTTGTTTTCTAAATTTTCTATAAAGCGAATCATATTTTGGGGCACACTGGGCAAGTCTAGTTTCTTTCACTCAACATAATTATTTTGAGACTTGTTGTTCCACGTTTCAATAGTTTATTCCTTTTTATTGGTGAAGTGTGCTCATTATATGGACATACCAAAACTCTGTGTCCACTCACCTATTAATGGACATTTGGAGAGGCTGCAGTTTTTGGTTTTTACATGTAAAACTGCTATGAACATTTGTATACAAGTATTTGTATGAACATATGCTTTCATTTTCCTTTGAGTGGAATATTTAAGTTATTTGAAAGTAAATATTTAAGTAACTGCCAAACTACTTCCAACCTTGTATCATGTTACTAGTACACTCTTACCAGCAGGGTATGAGCAGTCCAGTTTTTGCTGTTGTTTCATTGTTCCCATTCTAACAGGTGTGACAGGGTATCTCCTGGTGGCTTTTCTTTGCATTTCCCTGATGACTAATAACGTTAGAGATTGCTTTCATTAGTTTGTCATTGGCATACATTCTTTGCCCATATTTATTGATTGTTTGTTTCTTATTATTTAGTGATTCTGAATCAAATCCTCTATGAGATACATGATTTGTAAATATTTTCTCCAAGTCTGTGACTTCCCTTTTCATTCTCTCAACAGTGGCTTTCAGAGAACAGAAGT